TTTCTGCAGGGCTGGCAGCTGCCTCCGTGCCTCTCTGCTCCAGCCAGCCCTGCACAGAGACGTCTCTGAAGTGCTGGCAAGAGAACTCAAAAGAGATTCCAGCAGGCAGAGGAGATCCCCCGCCAGGCTAAAGGAGCAAAGGACTGAGGGAAAAGGAATCACTGGGCTATTTAATCCTTTATTTTCATGTCTGCATAAAGGACAGCAGGAAGCATGTGGTACCAAAGGAAAAAAATTTCCATCAAAAAGTGCCGTGATTCTTTCTGTAAGCCTTTCCATGCTTTCATAAAGAAGTAACTTTCGCTTCTCAGAGGGATCAAAAGGAGTCTGCCAGGGGTGACAAAAGAAAGGTAGAAGTTAACCTCCTGACATGGCAATAGGATAAACCAGTGTGAAGGAAGATTATACTGCAAAGACCTTCTAGGACTGGGAAGAAAATTGTCTTTGGTTCAGCAGAAGAGGAAATGTAACAGCGGAGGATTAAGAAGTGAGGCAACACAGTAAAAATGTCAAACTAGAGAGAGGCCCCTTCGCAGTGGCATTTTGAATAAACAAAGCTGCAAGGGTCACAGCGAGAGACAAGGATAATTGTCAGGACATGACTTTAGGTCATACAGTCAGAAGAAATCTGTTAGGCCTAGGAGCTGCTGTGCTACGTGCAGTAAGACTTCAACACTATCAAGTGGGAATAGAAAGAAGAGGAAGACACAGAAAACATGAGTTGAAAATATGAAATATGGTATCCAAAGCTGCACTTGTTGATGAGGGCAGCCAGGAAAAATATATAGAATCTATAGGAAAAAACACAGATGGAAACTTAGCACACTCTCAGCAGCAGAAAAGGAGGATTCAGCACTAAAGAGTCAAGAAGAAGAAGTGAAGAATTGAGAAATGAAAGGTTTTTTAAGGAAGGGTTTGGGGTTTTTTTAAGTGTTCACTGGATTTGGGAAGAGGAATGAGAGTTTCAAAAGCAGTCCATCAGTCAAGAGACAGTGATGAAACACAGGCCTTCATGTTTGAGGTGCCAACTAGAAACACACATGAGCAGCTCAGCTGACAGCGGAAGGAATGAGCCATACTAAAAGAGGTGAAGGACATAATTAGAGCAGTTTTGGACAGGTTTTTGGAGAGGTTAGAGATGACAGGAATGGTAGTACAGGAGAGGAATCCAACTGGTGTTTTCAGGATGAGGAAAGTCAGTGACTACCCATATTTATTTGAGAGAAAACTTAAGGACCTTGAGAAATAGATAGGGAAAAGAAGGCAGGATGAAGTAGACACACATGGTGGTAAGGGAGGGGATAATGAAAGAGAAAGGAAAAGAAAAGATGAAGTCAACTTTTCTGTGACAGCAGACTGAGAAGCAACTGTGGAAAAGGTTAATGACAGAAGAAATTCATGATGCATTTTAACTTGCTTTTTTTCTGCAGAGGCAAATTAGGTGGTTGTGGTAGAATACTTTTTGATGCAAAGCTCAAAGAAAAACACCCAGAGAAGTACAAATATAGCAAGTCATGGGTTTTCTAAGAGAAAAACTGGATGCATATCTGTGAGTGAAGAGATGAGGACATAGTGATAGACAGTGAAAATGTCAGATTAAGTATCATCAGGGAAAAGTAGCTCAAGGGTGAACATGTTGATGTAGAAGTGATAATCATTGCCCTGTAGTCAATGTCTTATCGGTAATCAGAGTTAGCATTTCTCATTACAGCAGTACAACTGAAGTCCAAAAATTGATCAGAAAGCTTCTCAGATCAGTGTGGTCATGCAATGAACAAATGGCTCTCAAAAGAAGATGAACCAAGTAGGAAGGAAAAAAAAAAACCCTCAAATATCCCCTTCAGGGTGTAGCCTTGCTCTGCTGATTATCTCATAGCTTTTTCCTCTCCAGAAAGTGCACTTTCTGTTCAATTCCCAGTCTCATGTATACCTCTTTAGCCTTGTGCTCAAAATTTACAAAGCTTTAGCTTGTCAGCTCTGGGAATTCTCCATCTTTCCTCTGAATATTAGTTACATAATAGCTTGAGCTAAGCAATCAAAGCGGTGATAGGTCAAAAGGAAGATTTGCCTGAGGTGATGCAGGAAGTTGATGGCAGAGCTTGAAGCTGAATACACATTTCTCTGCTATTCAGACAGCACAAAACCCACTAGAGCCTCCTTTCCTGTTTAGATTTTGTTGGCTTTTTTTCAAAACAGCGCTGTTTCTGAAGCCAAAGCTAAGAAATGCAATGGCACTGACAGAGCTAATAAGCCAAAGAAATATCCCCAAATGGCACTGCTTTCTAGCTCTCCATGGCACTTCCATGATATTATTAATAAATTATATATCTTACAATCAATATTTTCCACATCCCTACTGTACTTATCAGTGTCATTTCAACTGCCTGTCTACAGTTGTTGAGGAGGGATAATAAGGTGAGCATGTTAAGCCCAGTCTTCCCCTTGGTTTTTACACGCTTTACCTTCAAACTACGCAAGTCCAAAGATGCCATAGCTCTTTAGTAACAACATTTCTGGATATAAAAGATAGGCTTGAAAGTCATTGTTCAACTCCCTCACACCTGTTTTGTGGGACTAAATTACAAGTGTTGAAAATTTTAGCTGGTAAGTGCTGGCAACAGCAAATGCAGTACTGAAATTTACAGGGATGACTTAAACATTTTTTGACGTTGCAGAACAGAGTAACATTTACCTGTCGAGAGTGCAGGATGCAGTAAATAGGCCAAGCAGGGAACAAAGAGGGCCAGGACTCCAAGGCTCAGTCTCTGAGGTGATGGCGGTGATTATGATGACATCTACCTCCTGCACTTCAAATTGCCACTCTTTGGGTTCTGTAGGGTTTAAGATTTATCTGTGAGTCATTGAGGAACGGGCCATACAAGGTAGTGTTACTCTCCTCCATGCCATGACACCTTTCTCAGAAGTTTGAGGATTTTTCACCATGTGGGCTTATCTGGCATCAGCTACTTGAGAAAATGCCTTCAGAACTGAACATGGAGCATTCAGTATTCCAGATCAGCAAAACTGTGAAATAGGTGTTGCATGAACAAAAGGGATGTTTATCAGTTATACTGATGTTTATTATTATTTGCATTATCACAGAGCCCAGGCACTGCTGCTTATAAAGAAGCAGCTTTCATGCTACTCGGTATAAAAAGGGAGTAAAAAGACTGTTCCTGTCCCTGGAATTTTACAGTCTAAGACAATTGACAGCTGCTGGATCCTGACAGAGAGGGAAACAAAGGGCATTAATAAAAGAATGATGATCAACACAATAGTAATATCCCACCTCAGACTTACAAAGTTCCTATAAGCATAAAGAATGGTTGCTCAAGGGCAATTACAGTGTAATTTTATAAGGCAGAGGCAAAGCTATACAGCTTTTGTGAAAAATACATTTGGATTTCCACTTTCTTTAAGCAGAAATTATTCCTTTAAAGAAATATGTTTACAAAAGCTGTTTTCTTGCACCAGTCTAGAGAAACATTGTGAGAACACAGGTTACTGTGCATTAATGCTTCAAGTCACGGATTAGAAATTGTAGGCTAGTTTTGCCATTAGATTCGCACAGTTTCTTCTGTTTATTTCTGTGAGTGCTCCGAAGACACACAGGCTTTGAATCTATAATGACTGCTTACAGGTCTCTTATCCAAACACGCGTTTTCCACTGAGAAATACTAACCGAGCTCTGACTAGGAACTAGCTGGTACATCCCTGTGGCACTCAGATAATTTAACTCTGTGTAACACAGCAACGTAACACGGTATTTCTACAAGCAGCTTTGTCCAAAGAGTAAATAAGATCAACATCGGGACAAGCTGGAGTTAGGTTTTGGGGGTGATCCCAGGTAATGAGCTGGTAACACTTCTCCGTGTTTTCGATTTTTGTTTCACAAGGCCCCGTGCCTCTCTCCACCCCACAGAACCGCTCCCCTCACAGCAGGGCTCGGTGGTCACGGCTCCCATCAGCACTTCTGGCCACTGTTGCAAGACCCTGGATGTGGAGTGAAGCAGGCACTGCCTGTGCTCGACCTGAAGGCAGTAACTTCTGCTCTTTTCAGGGAAAAGCGCAGACAACCAGCCCAAGCCGGCACATTTTTGTAACTTCACTTCCCCACAGCCGCAGCGGGAGGCGCGGCCCCCACTCTCTGCCAGGCGCCCGTTAGGCCGAGGTTCAACAAGATGCCGCTTCCGGCTGGAGCCCCCTCCCGGCGCGGGCCCGGCGCCCCCAGGCCGGGGATCGGGGCCCGGCCGAGGGTGCCGGGACTCCCCGCGGGGACCCGGCCCCACCGCCCTCGATGGGCTCTACCCCGCCCTGTGCCGCCCTGGCCGCTCCCAGCGCCTGCTTCCCCGAGCCGCCCAGGGAAACCCACACCGGGCGCCGGCTGCCGGCGGCGGGGGGGAAAGCCGCTGGGCGGCG